ACCTCTTGCTGGCCCTGGAAAGGCATTATCCTCTGTCAGCAACAGGTTGAGAATTATGTGGAATGACAGAATGCCTTGCATTGGAAGGGGCCTTCAAAGACTGTCTGGTCCAACACCCCTGCTCTGGGCAAGGACATCTTTCACTAAATTGGGTTGCTCAAAGTCTCATCGAACCCAGGCCTTGAACACTTCCAGTGGTGGAGCACCTGTAACTTCTCTGGGAAACCCATTCCAGTGTCTCACCACACTCATCCTGAAATACTTCTTCCTTATGTCTCCACCTAAGGAGTCCTTCTGCTGTGCCTTTTGCAACCGGACCTGTCTATCTCATATTGGCCTTTTTAGCCACCAACGCGTTTGTAACGAATGTGAGTAGAGCCCTTCCCAAATCTTCGTTTGTGAAGCCTAGCCATGATGATGATGATATCTATTTGAAATTTACAGTTTTTCAGGTTAAACCCATTGGTTTCTTATAAGCCTGCTTTAAGTATTGAAAGGCCTCAAAGAAAGTATCTTTGGAACCTCTGTCATCGCCAGGCTGAACAATCCCAATGACCAGATGTGGCACTTAGAACTATGACTTAGGAGCATGGTGGTGTCTGGTCAAAGGTTGTACTCTGTGATCTTGGAAGCATTTCCCAGCCCTAATGATTGTATGATTCTATGAAGTATGTCAGCCTTTCTTCATAGGAGGGATGTTCCTGCTCTTGGCCCTCCTCTGTAATCACTCTAACTGGTCCGGGTCCTTCTTGTGCTGGGGCCTCCAGAGCTGGATGCAACAATGCAACATTGTAGGTGGCATCTCACAGATGGGAAGAATCACCTCCCATCACCTGCTGATCATGCTTCTTTTGATGGATATTGTTGGCTTTCTGGGCTGCAAACACACCTTGTTTGTTCATGTCCAATTTTCCATCCACCAGTATCCCTGAGTTCTTCTCTGAGTAGCTGCTGTTGCCTTTCTGTTAGGTCCTGCTCTCAGTGGCACGTAGTAAGTCTGTCCTGTGCAGTGCTGTCAAGTTGCGACAAAGAGCCCTCGGGATGTGCCTGGATCACCAAGGACTATATTGAGAGCCTCTGAGTGTGACTTTGGGGACTGAAAATCTTTGCCTTCCCAGTGGTCAATGACAAAGCCAGTGTACTCAGAGAGCACTTCTGGGTTTTTGCTGTGGTGCTGTGACCCATCCTTGTCACAGGAGTGCAGCACATGACCAGGCAGCTCTGGACAGGATGAGGGAAGATCTGGTTTGAACAGAAAGTGCTCTGTGAGTTGAGGGTTCTCTAGGGGTTGATGGTCACTCAGCAGTGCTTTCAGGATGATCATCGTATCTGTTCACAAAAGAGATTAGAAAACAAGAACCTTCTGTGGAATTGGTCACAAACCCAAGGTAGCTTCTCACATGTGAGCCAGGCTGTGGGAAAGAATTTCTTCCTTGCTCCTTAATGCCCTCTCAGTACTCAGATGGCATTTCCTCCAGCTGCAGATCATTCCAGCTTTATTTAGCTGAAGGTTAAATGGGTTTGGCCAGTGTTCCTGGGTTTGGCCAGTGTACCCTGTGTGCTTTCCACAACTATATAGCAGAATATATACATATGGAGTTTGTGAAGTTATTGCAGTAAAGGTACATGAAAGATATGTCCAATTCCCAATTTTACTTAAGGAAAAATTACAGTATTGTGTACATTTCTGTGTAGTATATTATGAATATCAGGGAAGATAATTGAAACAATATTCATAAAATTCTGACAAAATAGGGAAAATATTACATCCTTAAGTGCAGAACGCAACAGTCCTACTATATCCATAGGTAAGTATATATGGATATTCAGGTCTTAATTCTCACATTGCTTTACAACTTTTCTGTACATGAGCAACATGCTATTTCCTGATATATTTCACAGTTCTAAACTCTGGTGACACCTTCTATTGTTACAAATAAAGTTACAGTGGTTTTCTGTCTTTTCGAATACTCAGAATACATTGATTATATTTTACTGAATTGTGTTCTCAAATTCAAACTATAGGCAGCTTTCCCTGCTGTGATTGTCTTATGTTGTCCAAAAACAATGCAAAAAAAATTCAAAGTTATGAAAAAGTTTTGGTTAGCTTATGGAGCCTCACACAGTTTCTACACATTGACTGAAATGGATTTGGAGGAAGTAATGACAATTTCAACTTGATGATGTGTATACGCTCTCAGGCACAATGTCAAAGTCAGGTAATTTTCAATGTACAGAGAGAACGTAATTATCTGTGCTCTGCCAAGGAAGTTGAGGAAAATGCCTATGTACTGAGCTAATCTCAAATATGAAGGTTTGTCATAAAACAAACTGTTTGTTGCCTGTCTGTTGCCTTTTCCAGAAGCCACATGGTCTAGTGCAGCACTGACCTGTCTTCTCAATGTGACCTTCAAGAGAACCTTTCAAGGCTCTTTTCAAGTTACATCAACAGCTGAGAAGATAAGTCACAGATTCCCACTGCTGCCAGGACTTAGTGGAAACTCAACAGGCAATGGCTGGAGAAATTAATCCCTTTTTATGTGTTTTCTCTGATATTAATGTCCACTGCTCTTTGCCACCACTTGCAGGGTGACATGTATCTGATAAACACAAGGACTGGTTAAACTCCAAATCCCTATAGCTACAAGTACTTTCTTATGGAATGAGATTTAAATAATGATGGCTTCAATGTCAGAACAAAGAAACAACATAATAAAAGAGCTGGAATGCAAAGCTGAATTCACTGGTCCAGATTTATCTTATTCAACCTTGTGTGGTTGACAGATGTTAAACTCATCATCATCTATAAGGTCCAACAGACCAGGAAGACAAAAGGCATGTGCAGCAGCATAAATATCCTTCCACTGTGAGCATGATAAAGGAAAAAGGCATTACTGTGTTTTTTATTGTCACATAATTGCAACCCAAGCTACTAGGAAAACTTTCAATAGAAAAGACATTTGAAAGTCTTAGTTGTTTTGGTGGACTGTCATCAGTCCTTGCAAATCTGGTCTTCTTGGTCTCACAAATCCCAGCTGACTACTCCTAGTGACATCTCACAGTATATTTCGTGTTCTAGAGGAACTTCTTTGCTGACATTAAATTTGAGACACTGTAAAAATAAAAGAAAACATGTTAAAATTTTTATTTTTTAATTTGCCAGTTGTCTCCTACCTTCCTCTAAGTATGAACACACAAAAAGGGATTATTCTTCAGCTGATATTTTAGTACTCAGCTGTAAAACACTTTGTTCATTAAAAGAAAGAGCTTTACACCATTGAAAACGTTATCAGCTTTTGACATTTTCACTAAACAAAACATAAAGTATAAAGAAAGAAAATTTAGATGAAAAATGTAAGTGATTTACATATCGTGCTTGCAAGTGCATTGGTTAAATCATTCCAAACCAGCATGATTTCATGAATGGCTTAGATGCATATCAGAAGTTTGGCAGATGACATTAGCACAGGGTTGCATAAATCTTCCAGGAGAAGATTTATATATTAGGAAAAGCTTTGCATGGACATATACTATCATTAGTGCTTTGAACTGAGAGAACTCACAAAGGCAATAGAAACACAAGTAAGAAATATTGAAGAGTAATTTAGCAGAAAAAGTCGAACTAAAGCATATGGAAAAAATAACCTGAAAATTCTTAGGTAATCTTTGACAAAATACCAGTGAGGCTTTTTTTTTTTCCATCTCTGCTCTTTGTTCACAGGATGAAGATTTCCAGAAGTAAGTTCAATGAACAATATCAAATAAAATAGACTAAATAAACTAAACAATACATTCAAGTTTCAAGGCAAAGTGGGCAGGGAAAAGTAATTTGGATTATATTTATAAAGGTCCAAGATGGAAATAAGCATCAGAAGAACATAATGGAAAATCATTGGATATCCAGGGCTTTTGTGCCATTGAAAGTATCACTATAGATAGCATTTCTTTAATTTCCAGCAGCTTAATCAAAGAATCAATTATAGAATGGTTTGGGTTGGGAGGGGTCTGAAAGAGCCTTGGACAGGGACACCTTCCACTATCCTAGGTTGCTCCAAGCCCATCCAACCTGGCCTTGGACACTTCCAGGGATGGGGCAGCCACAGGTTCTCTGGGCAACCTGTGCCAGGGCCTCCCCACCCTCACAGGGGAGAATTTCTTTCTGATATTTAATCTAAATCTCTTCTCTCTGTTTAAAACCTTTATCCCTTGTCCTGCCACTTGGCATGGTGAAATCAAAGAAAATTTGTAACCAGCCTATTCTTGAGTGTTCTTCTTCTGTAAGAAGCAAAAATTGCCCAGACTCATGTTCAGTCACTTGTCCACTCACAAGAACATACCCTGAATAATCTGAGCGATTCATCCTTTGTGGCAGCTTTATCTTCTTTCACAAAGCTGACCTTTCTCCCACTGACGACTAATTTATATCTACTGGCATACTGGCCTATAAGCTTCTTGCAAAGAATCCAAAGTCCTCAGTTCTGTTGGTTGTCTCCTCTAATTTAACAGATATTAGTAAATTACACTGGAGAAAAGTCCTGTTTGTAATGTCTTTGCAGTCCACTGCACTGTGCCAGAGGATGGCTGCACACAGAGGAGGCCAATCATTTATTCTGACAAACCATTAGCTGATTTCTTGTCAAGCTTTTAACCTGTGCCAGCTACACTTCTCCTAAATAGATTTGAAGGCATAACTGGACAGCTGGTATTTTCTGGGACCATTCCCAATAGACCCTGCATCCAGCCTCACCATTCTGGATACAGAAATAGTTTACTTCTATAAGTATAAACAGTCCTGTGCCAGTTGACCTAAGTTCCTGGACACATTTAATTTGCTAGTGTAGCTGTACTGTTCCTCTGGAAAGGTTTGGAGAAGCAACAGTGAAATTTGTCCCTGGGAAAGGAAGGACCTGCTGGGAGAAGCAACAATACCTCGATGGAAAAAGGAAATTAAAAGTGATTGTGCCTCTGTTAACTTTCTGCCAATGTTTCCATCTCTTCAGGTCTGGACTCCACTAGAGGTGAATGCAAAGCAGAGCAGTCAGAAGAGAAGAGGCAGAACAAGGATAGACTGGCTACAGGCAGAGCAACAAGGTTTGGGCAAGGCTCTGTGGTGCTGACATTCCCATGGAAGAGGAAGGATTTTGTTGGGCTGAAAATAAATCCTTCTTCAGATGGAGAGGCAGCTGCCTCACACCCTGCCACCCCTTAGCAATGGCTTCCCCTCCCCCATGTTCTGTGACTGTGAATTCGGGAGTAATAATCACATGCCAGCAAGGCAGCACAGGTTGAGTGGGAAAGTGGAGGCATCTCAAGACTGTAATGGGATACTGATCTGTATCCCATTAGGACACCTCGTCCTGCAGCCCCCATCCATGTTTTTTCTTGGTGCTATTCATCTCATGAACTGGAAGGCTTCCCTTTGTGCGTGGATGAGGAGATAGTGGTGGAAATAACACACATTTTGAATCACACTGCTAAACATCTTCAGGCTTTGTAAAACTGTGTTTTCATAATATATCTTATCTCATTTGGAAGCTGAGGATGGGGTGGACAAATGGGTGGTCATGACCTTTGAAAATTGTCTGAGCTGTTCCAGGAGTAGAAATCAGCAGCTAATTAGTATCTGGCTGGCAGTTGTTAATGAGAACAGTACCCCTGAGGTTCATAACAAGGCATTTATCTTTCAAAATCTTCATCAATACCGTGAGTGAGTCACAGACTGTGTCTTTGGCAAATTTGCAGGTAACACTAATCCGGGGGAGTGGCTGAATATGGCCAAGATTCAATCCAGGGGGACCTTGATAAACCTGAGGATGAGACCAATAGAAACCTCTTGAAGCTCATTAAGTAGTGCAGTTTTCCAGCTGGGGCAGAATCACACTGTGTGGACAGGGAAGTGTCCCAGCAGCAGCCCTGCTAGGGAGGATGTGGGGGTTTTGTGAGAGGCAGTTTGACTCTAAACCAGCAGTGCTTTCTCATCCTGAGAAAAGCAAATCCCAGAGTGGGCTGCATTAGGAACATTGTGTCTAAGAGACTGAAAGAAGTTATCCTCCTGTACTTTGGGCTGCTGCAGTCACACCTGGAATACAGTACTGCATTTTGGGCTCTGCAGTTCAACTCGGATGTGGAGAAACTGGAGCGGGTCCAATGAAGTGCTACCAAAGTGGCACGTGACCTAGAGCACGTTACCTGGGCTACAAGCTCCCAACAAGTAGAGGACAACAACCTACCCTTACATGTTCCATCATTTCCTATCTACACTTCCCTCAAGCCCTCTGCTCCTTTGGTCAGAATGTGTCTGCCCATAAAGAGTGGAAAGCAGCATGGAGTTAGAGGTGAGTCTGTAACTCCATGGTCTCTTCTTTGCTAGAGTGACTGGATTCATTCACAACTTCCTGTTGGCAGGTACAAGTTTTAGGTATTTCCAAGAAAGCAGCTCCATCACAAGTAATGGTGACTTGGGAAGACAAATACCATAATTCCAAATGTCCCCCAATCTTCTTCCCTCAGACTTAATTGATGAACATTATATTACATACATTATATGGTATGAAATACTCCTTTGGTCAGCTGCGGTTATCTGTCCCAGCTGTGTCCTCTCCCAGTTTCTTGTGCCCCCTCCAGCCAATCTACTGGTGGGGCAATGTGAGAAGCAGCAAAGCCTTGGCACCGTGTAAGCACAGTTCAGCAATAATGCAATCATGCCTGCTATCACCAACACTGTTTTAATCACAAATCCAAAACACAGCCCCATGCAAACTACTATGAAGAAATTTAACTCTATCACAGCTAAAACCAGTCCATAACTTTTGGTGCAGAGAAGAGATGCTAATAGAATAATAGAATCAGCTGGGTTGGAAGGGACCTCCAAGATCATCAAGTCCAACCCTTGATCCGCTACCGCTGCAGTTACTAGGCCATGGCACTAAGAGATGTCTCATTTCTTTCTTTAAGGTGATGCTGCAGTGGAATATCCAAGCCTCCTGTGTAAACACACCTTTTTGAGGCTCAGCAGGTACCACAGTCTGTCCCACCAGCTGAACTGATAGTTGAACTGTAGTCCAACTTGATGCCCGAGGATCATGTTGTCAGTAGTTCCTAAATTGTATGAAATTGGTGGCTGTTCCTTGTTTAAACTAATGACAAGAATTAACTTTACTCAATGAAACAGGTGAGATGAAGCTTTCTCACCTGTCTGGGGACTTTGTGGTCTATCTGTTTCTTTCACCTAAGTTTCCTATTGCACCTCTTTCTGACAATGTTTCTTTTGTCAAATCACAATAAATTACAATAAATATCTCTTCAGCCTGTGTGAACCCAGCCTCTTGCCCTTTGTCTATAGATGAGCTCCAGAGATGTAGTGTCTGCATATTAACTTCATTCCAGTTCAGCAGAGCAATTTAAACCATTCCCTTCTTGGTTACAGGAAGGTCCTGGTACCAGATTTCTTCTCACTCTGGGGAAAAAAAAAAAAGCATCAAAATCTCAAACCTACTAAACACAGCAGGCAGACACTCCTGGATTCAGAGCAAGACACCACCTTACAAATTAACAGGAACACAGAATGGCAGCTTGGTGCTGATCTGTTCCAGTTGCACTGCGAGACAAGGCTGAGCTTATTGGCCTGTGCTGCCTGTGTGTGAGGATGCAGCAGCAAGTTAAAACCTTTGGGTGTGTCCTTTGGCGTTGAAAGTTGGAACCGATGACAGGTTCCCATCCCCTTTCACCTGAGAATTATAAGAATGCTGCAGTGGTACAGAAAGGATCCCTGGAGTGCAGTGCAATCCCAGATGGTAGGGACTTCTGCTGGCACCTGACTTAGTGGCACAAAAATAAAAAAGTAATTCGGGGACATGATGGTCTGGCCTCAAAACTCAGACTGTCTCTATCTGTTAAAATGTCTTTTCTCCATGGACCTTCTGTATGTTTTCTTACTTAAATGGGCTTTTATTTCTAAGCAAAAGCTTTCTGCAGAGCAAATACATCACACACATCCTAACCTCATGGGACTACGCCTACATTCTCTGAAGATTATATAACAACTAGACTAAAATCTTAGGAATAACATTTACTCCTGCACCCCACTTATGCACTCATTAATGAAACAGTAAACCATTAATTGCAACTTCCAAAGAAGTTGTCAGTTGTCAGGTAAAGCTTATTGCAGTTAACTGAGTTATTCTCCTTCCCAAGACCAGTTTTGGTGATTCAAAATGCGTTCAGTCTGTCCTCCAGCCCTCACAGGTGCATGTGGGTCTTTCGTGCACATCCAGGGACATATAATTCCCAGTTCCATCACATTTGCTTTTTGTTGCCCTTGCATTCAGATTTCTTCTGCTAATAGCTGTGCAAACAATCCTGTACCTCAGTGAACACAGAGTCCTGGTGTTAAACATGCCATCTATTTAATACAAGCTAGAACCAGATGATGACAGCCATGCCTAGCACTGTTCTTGAGGTACTGTAGTCTCAGCTGGACAAGGTAGATGTGATTCATGGTGGTAAGCAAGCCTGAAGCTTTTCTCAGCTGGAAATTCAAGCTCTAACAACTAGAGAGCGACAACCTGTCTTTACATCTTCCACTATTTCCTATCTGTAGCAATAAAATAAACAGATACGGGATCAAAGCAGATATGTCACAGACAAGAAATATCTCAGCTGAGCTCCCATATCCCTCTGAGGTATTGGGAGAGGAGATGCTGTGAGTGTTTAGGGAAGATCGTCTCAGCACAGGTAAATCATGAACCTCCATCATCCAAAGGATGTTAAGCAGCTAAGGAATAGAGGCATTTTAGTGTAAAAATGAGGACACAGGGCTACCTGTTGGAGCCTTTCCTGTCAGCTGCTGGCTGCTTGTTACCTTAAGCAAAAGAATATCACACACAAAGAGGCAAAGTTTTTGATGATGTCATCAGTAGGGCATGTACACAGCAAGTCAGAGCTACAACCCACAAACTTATCTTTTGGGGTTGGCGGGGAAAAGGAACCAAGAAGAAATATCTTTTTCCCCATCTGATGAACTTGCTCTCCCTGCACACCCACAGGCACAGTGCTTCCCTAATTAGTGTCCTGGCCTTAACCAGCCACTGCTCTCCTGAGTGAGAGAAGTCACGCTGCAGAAAAGCAGGCAGAGTTTGCAAACTGGCTGCTGGTAGGTAAAGGGGTCCCTGAGGAACCCCCCAGTATGTGTGTGTTCCTGCCAGGGACGCTGGTGTGAGCAACCCTATTGCTGCCCACTGCTGGCTCTGTTACACTGTGGTTATCTGGACTATAGGTGCTGGAGGCTTGTTATAGATGTAGTCCTGCCCTGATGAGAAAATTTCAGGTCAAGATATCTTTCCTGGTCTGCAATATAGGAGGATGAAAACAGTAATGTAGAGGGAGAATAGACAATACGTGTACTTTTACTGGACTGGCAGGTCAACTTGTCAGTCCTTCAGCCTTAAAACACATCATGGGCATCAGTATTCAATCAGTGTCACTGAAAGCCAGCAAAAAGTGCTAATTAAGGAAACTAATAGGAAATCCCAGGATGAAACAGCAACAAAAGGTATGACGACACTTTTTAAATTGGCAGAGTTCTTGCAATAACTCTTTTGGGAAAGGTGGAATAGCTACGAACCTTGTGGGAGAAGCCTCTGCCACTCATTAAATCCCTTGCATCTAAAGCCAGTCACAGATGTACCAAGAGATCTGTGATTGTTGGACAATCTGCACTATAACAAGAAAATTTGGATTGAGTTTGTTGTTGCCTTAACAACCGAGACGGTAACTTAATATTTGATCCACATGGGCTGTGTAACACTGCAGTAAATAAAACACTCCCCCATTAGCTCAGAGGTAAGATGAGAGCACAACAGCAAAGGGTGACTGAAAATAAGAAGTGAGAGCATTAGCAAAAATCACGTGTTCAGTGGGTTTCCCAAATAGGCACAATGATGTCAAGTGCCCCAGTTGAGGTACTTCGGAAACTGTTAGGGGAGCACGGATGGCTCTGTATAAAGACCCGGTGGCACCTCTGCTGAAATATTCTGTGCTGTCCCAGCACTACACACTCAGAAATTACTGACTCAAGGGGTACAGAGTAAAGATAGAATTTTGAGACCTCGGGGGAACAAAGAAGCTCCCTTGAGTGCGGAGCCTGGAAGAGTTCAACTTATGGCTTTTGGG